GAGAGCTCATACAATGTCAAGGTGCCTTCGTTCTTATAGTGTTTAAAATGCCTCCGTTGAAATTCTTCCATTGCTAAGTTAGTGTTGAGATGACCATACTCTTCCAACGTTGAGATGTTTCTGTCTGAAATGTTTTCGTTCTTGTAACGTTGAGATATCTCTTCTTGTGAATTAAAAAGTTCCTTAGCTAACTCAATGTGAGTTTTCTCCAAAACATTGAGATGTATTCACTCAAAATCATTCTCCAAGTGTAATTCTTCAAAGCATTGAGATGTATTTGTCAACTAAAGCGTTCGTCTCTGCTTGTATACTGTAGAGTTCCTCCACAATTAATGTTGAGATATCTCTGCTCAAACTAAAATATAACAACGTTGACAACTGTTAGGCTTTTCTAGACTTTAAGTCATACTCTAAAGTGCTGAGATACCTCCACTAATTACAAAATTTAGATGTCTCCTCTAGTAAAGCATAAAATTCTTCCATTATTAACTAAGTATTGAGATGTATGTGCTTAAGCTAAGACATAACAAGACTTATACGGTCTAGTAAAGATGTTCACCTCTTAGTTTTAACTGAATTAATCGACTGAATCAAATTAGGTCGATTAAACGATCAATCTTCAAAATTAGTTAGTTGAAGAAAAATTATTTTTTTAATATTTTGTTAGTGATTAATTCGGATTTGGAATCGATTAATTAATCAAAAATATTAAATATATATTTTATTTCCCAATCAAATAGTATCAAAAAAAACAAATGAGAATCGGGGGGGGGGGGGGGGGGGGGTTGGTGGTGGATGAGAAACAAGAATGTGTTCAAGACTTGAGGCAGAAGAAAAGCAGGATGGGGAGCCTCGAAATTCGTTGGGTTGGGCCGAAGCAAAAATTAAATAATTGTAATAAATACATTTTAACAATTTAACATCCATTTCTCTCCTATTTGTCAGACTAACCAGCCATGTCCCGCTAGCCGCGTCTTTCGCAGTCTCCCCGAAAGAATTTATTTTCAATCATGGCGACTCTATAAAATTCTGTCTTTCCCTTCTTCCTTCGGCCTCGTACCCAATTCGATTTCCCCCCATCCTTTCTTGGGTCTCTTTTCCACCAGTTTTTCTTTTCTTTTAGATTCAGAGCAAAAATGAGCGCGTATAAGCGCGTGGTTCAATTAGGGTTTAATGCGTATTCGAGTTCCCTTGTTAATAGGATCGGGCACCGGCCGATTTCTCAACTCGTTAAGTCCAATGGAAAGCGTGCATTTCTCGTCGATACATTGGCTCTGGTACTTCTTTTTTAAAACTCCATTTCATTTTTAATTTCCTGTTTGGTTGTCGAGAAAACCTAGGAATATGAAGGAGGTGTGAGCATGTTTGTTAATCTTTTTCAATCAGGAAAGTCAATTCGTGTTTTCCCCCCTTCTTACTGATTTTAGATATTATACTTAATTCGATTGGATTTGTTTTCTCGCTAAACAAATCGGTGTTTATTCCATTTCTTTTCCCAAAAAAAATGGATGCGAAACTCTTCGATTTGGTCCCTGTGTTAAATTTAAGTTACTTTTACAATATAATAGGTTCGAAGTTTGGAAGCGCAAGGAGTGCCCTCGAAACAAGCGGAGGCTATAACGGCAGCAATCACTGAAGTACTAAACGACAGCTTGGAGAATGTATCCCATTCGTTTGTTTCGAAGTCAGAAATGCAAAAAGTAAGTGTGATATTTTTGTTACATTGTTTTGAATGTTTCCTTGAACATGTATGTTCATTGCGATTATGTGGGGTACTAAATTTTTCTTCATTCTACCTTTTGTAGTCTGAGATGCTTCAAGAAGCCAATTTGTCGAAGTTTAAATCGGAAGTAAAAAGTTCCCAGGTACTACTACTCTATATGTTTAATTAAAAAACTAAGTGGCAAAGGAGAAAGAGGAATTTTTTGTTATGTGCTAATTTTGTAATTTGGATATTACCATTTGACAGAATTGAACACCAATCAATCTCTTATTGACTCTTAATTTTTCTGATTCTTATGAAATTTTATTGGTGGAATCTCGTAGCTTGTTCGATTTGAACTAATGATATTACGGCACTGGAGTCTTTCGTTCCTTTTCCAGCATTCTTGTGCATTAACCCAATGTTTCTGTTTGTGAGGCTGGTCAAGCTTAGGGTAATTGATATTCTATGTGCTATTTTAGTGCCCCTTTGTCCTATTACTTTCTCCTTTCCCTCCTTTTTGTGACAATTGCTCGGGTGTAGGTAAGTAGGGGTGTGCATTTGGTCGTTTCGGTTTTTGTATACCAGGAACGGAATAATCTGATTAAATCATTAAAACCAAATAAACCAAACCGACTTTATTGTCAAAACTGAAATAACAGGACAAATTATCCCCCAAACTGAACCGAAATAACTGTCTAGAATCTAGACTCTAGACTGATCAAACCAAATTGATAATTTTCTTTTTTACATTTTTAATATTTATTTATAAAATAAAAAAATATCGTTGTAATTTTAAACATTTATATGTAATTAATTAAATAATTTGATTGAGGCATTTCATATTTGGGTATTTAATTTCATATTTAGTTTAAATTAATCAAACATATACATGTAATTTATTACTTGAAAAAACTTAATCGGTTTATTTGGTTTGGATTTTTAAAACCGACACCAAAGTGAATTAGTTGTCGAAATCGAATAAGTAAATTGGTTAAATCAGTTTGGTTTACTTGGTTAATTCAGTTTAACTGATTTTTGTTCACCCCTTTAGGCAAGGAAGGAGGTGAAGATGAAAGTGGAAATGACAACTCTTGTATCAAAAGTTAGGTGTAGGTGAACCCTATGTGGTGGGTTTAGAATTAGATGAATATTTTGAAGTTCAGGTAAATATGGTTTAACAAAAGAAAACCAATGCTTTTGAACTAAACTATGCTTAGATATGTATAACACGTTAAGTTGTTGGTTTAAAAGTTATTCTAGGATGGAGAGTGTATGTAGAATGGAGAGAGTCTCTTGGTAGTTTTTCAATCAAAAGTCTAATTTCGAAACAGCAATTGTGTTATTGGCATTAAGTTCTGTAATTGCTAGTTTTGTTTTCACTTTTTCTCATGCGTCTTTTTCAGCATAAATGATTCTGAATGTTCTCTTTAGTTCCAAGTCATGTATTCTTAATTATATCATCACAGTGTTCATTGCAAATACTTATAGGCGTGTGTAGTCTTTATGTGGTTCTTAATGGTTTTTCCCTTTTAATGCAGGAGCATCATTTCTCTATGTTGCAACGTGAAACTGAGAAACTTAGAGGTGACATAGAAAAGATGCGAAGTGAACTAAGGTATATTTTCTGGATTAAAATGGAACTGTTTCTTACTTTCCTGAAAATTTTGATGGCTTGATTTTATTGAACTAAACTCTCAAACAGGTATGAAATTGACAAGGTTACTGCAGGGCAGCGTCTGGATCTAAATCTTGAAAGAGGGTAGGTAGACTTCATTTTCGGTTGGTTCTTTTTATGTGGACCGTTGCTTGCTTACTCTCTTAACTCTTAACTGATTCTAGGCGCATACGTGATGAGCTGGCCAATCAGAATGCAGAAACGACCAACCTGACAAACAAGCTAGATAGGGTGAGTATGCTTGTTTATTTCATTTGATAATCTGTGTAGAGATGCTTTCACATACAGCATAAACCTGATATTTCAAATCATCTACAGGAAATTCATGCATTAAGAGCCCAGTTAGAAGCTGCAAAATATGATGTGATCAAGTATTGCATAGGTACCCTCGTCTCCATATCTGCGGTTGGGTTAGCTGTAGTCCGCATCTTGATGTAGCCTCAAACCTGCTTCAAGTAATGCCAACTTTCCCTACATAAATCCCTAATTTCATTATTATTTTTTTCTTTTCTTCTGGCGACTACATTTCTTTGGGAGTAAAAAGGGGTGGATATTACTTTAGATTGTCATATAATTGGCAAGGAATGACAAATCCGAGTTGATCGGAACAATTATTTGTGCTTCTTTTAGGATTAAGCACGGCTTATTCTGTGAACTCTTGATGTGTTTTATGATATGTCATTTTTAGGGAGGCGAAGTTAAGGATATATTATCAAAGATTATTGCTAGTCTAGGCAATGGTGCAAACGTATGTATTCTTCAAAGTTGGCTTTTCTTTTATATGGAACAAATGATTTGCCATTTGTGCATTAGTTGATATAATCATATAAACGGAGAAAGAAATGATTTTGAACATTTTAAATGTAAAAGTATCATTCATTCATTATTCATGACTTTTACAGACTATGGCTTGTTCTTTTTTTATCTAAAAGCGTTTACATTTTATTGAATAATTTTTTTTTTATGTCTACCATAAAATTTTATGTGTCCACTCCATATAAATCCTGCAATCTGGATTTTCTTTAAATAATTATTTATTTTATTGATTATGACTATCATAAAATTTTGTGTTTCCACTTTATACAAAAATTTCATGTTACATTGCAATAAATATAAACCATTTTATGAAACCAGAGATTTAACGAAATTTGGATTTTTCCAATGGCGTCAAAGGTTGGTATTGCCTGTTACACCACGTTGGCCTGCCAAGTGTACCATTTTGTTATCAACAAAGTGGTCTAGTAAATGATGTTAGGACTTAGCACACACATGGTCTTTGCCTAGTTTTCACTACTGCGTCAGACTCACATATTCCAACCACTTCGACAGTATTATACCCCCTGCTTCTCAAAATTCAAACCCATATTATATGTTTAAAGCTTTGGTACCTCCAAAATTATAACGCCGGCTGAATCCTTTTGAACGTCTCAAAAACCTATTCTTTAATTATAGAAATTCAAAATTCAAATTTGAATAGAATTGACATAACTTAAAATAAATATAATCTAAAATAACTTAAACTTATAATAAATAGAATAAAAAATAAACTCTACACCAAAACAATCTAAATCTTAAATAGTTTTGAACTGAAATAGATTAAAAAAATATATAAAAAATAAATATAAAAAAGTCTAAAACTAGAAGTATAAATAAACCTAAGAAAATCTAAACCCAATAACAATTAAACAGGGTTGAACCCTGGTCACGTGAACCTATCCTGGTATACCTAACTTCAAAAACTCTGAACCATCCGGGTTAACTCAGATGAATCCATGACTGCTGTTGCTTTCTTTTTCCTCATCTCCAAAACTTTCCGATGACTGCTGGAGTGGATGTCACCGGAAAAAGTGGGACTACAAGCCGGTCTATATTCAGGAAGAAGACGACCGGACTTGTAACGAACCCCACAAGCGTTGCATAAGGTTTTGGACCCAAGCGGACCGGTTCTCCACTGTGGAGTCTTTTGAACTTGGCAATGACTACACCTCCGTTGAAAAGGGTTCCCGCTTGACAATCCACTAACTCGAACACCCACCGCCTCTTTCTTCTGCTTTTTGGTCGGCGGTTCCGTAAAATCATTAACCAACCCCGAACAGATACTCGAAGACGTTGTCATCGAAGACGACGACTCGGAAATAGGCAGTGACCCAACCGACCATGTCGGGACGGCCGGTTTTGCCCTTTTGCTCCTCGCTTTTGATGGAACTGACTTTGAAAAACACGGCGCTTTCACAAAAATGGGGCCAGGTTCCGCTTCAAACCGAGTATTTTCACGGTTCTCGGTTTGCTGATTAAATACCATGCATGGCAAAGGAAGCTCCGGCAACGAATCGTCCACAAAGTGAGACACCCATTCGAGCCCAGCTATTTCATCATCCTAAAAGGAAAAAAATAAATTAAAAATAAAATAAAATAAAATTTGAATTTATTTAAAGAAACGGAACTTACCGGAACGGAAAGTTCGCTGGTAAAGACGGAATCGAGGGAAAAACTGCTGGAATTTGAATTACTATCATCGTCTGCTACCCGTTCTTGATATGAAACAGAAACGGATTCTTTTTCTTCAACGGAATCTTCTTCGAATTCTCCGTTATTGAAATCAAGGAAACAGTCAACGGAGAAATCTTCGTTGGGAACGGCGGCGCCGTTCATAACATTCATGACCAAAAAATCATCGAAAACATGTTGCTGGGTCTTTTGCAATGTGAGTTCTCCTCTTACACTCGATTTCAATGCTCTCAGTTCCATGCAGTATTCCATTATTCCTATGCCCAAGAAAACAAATCGAATTCAACATCAAATTTTGAAGTTAAAATTATGAAAGAACACAAAAGAGTTATTATATTATTATGTATATACAAAATTATGATTTACCTGGTAAAGATGAAGGATGAAAATGAAGAAGGAATGTAAGAGAGAAGACTAAGTGGTGGAAAGGTGAGGAAATGGCCTAGGCTTGTTCGTGGGCGAAACTAATGCTAGAGTTAATGGTTTATCTCTTTTATGTCTCTCTACCGAATTTTCCTTTTACGTGTATATATGTTTTTAAGCCCTCTACTTTGATGAAATTCAAGAGTTAACCTGTCTACTTTAATTTCATATAATTTCATTTTTATTTTTACAATATTATTAGTAGGTTAAAGTTGACATTATTCTTCTGATTGAATTTTAATTCGATTAATGTGATCGATGTTACAACTAGGGTTGAACGTATGATTTCATCTTAGAAGTGTGAACTTAAGATTTTATAATAAAAAATTAGGGGGTGAAATTACAAAATTTAATGAGATACGAAATTATGTTATCAATTGAAAATATATCTAAACTATATAAAATTTTGAAATTTCCAGAAGGTGTGATCGCACTTCATCACTCTCACGGTCCATCTTCGGTTACAACATACAAGAGAATATGATTTTTTTAATTAACCTTGTATCCATTAACCATGAATGACGTAAATAATGACTGCCTCGTACACAAGATGATAAATCAGAATCAAAGTCTAATGTTCTAGACATAGTCGAAGCATAGTGAGCGAGAACATTTATTGCACCATTTGCAGAACGACGAATATATTGAACCTGGATGTGGATATGGATGTGCATGTCCATTATTTCTTGAGCTTCAACAAATATAAAATGCAACACAAATAAATTACGACCATTATCCTCGAGTTGACGAACAACATTCATCGAGTCACTCTCAATAATAATACAAGCAGCAACAAAGTTAAGAGAATATGATTCTAGATATTTTATATGTGTATTATCCTCCCATGTATACTACTTGAAGAGGCCTAAATAGTTTAGATATTGTATCAGTTGTTGCTCTTAAGGTGAAGAAAGTGAAGTTTTGTTACTATTACTTAATCACACAGTTAGCAACATATAAAAACTCAATAAATCGTATTTAATTAATTTAGTTTAAATCCAAAACAAATGCGTAAGGATGTTTTTTAAAAGTTAATTAATTAATAATAAACTATGTCAAATTAAAATAGGTAAATTAACTCTCTAATTTCAGCATATTCGGACTGAAACCAGAATAAACCATTTTCCATTTATGGTCAATTAGTTAATTCACTGTTGATGATTGGTCTGTGAGCGAAGATAGTGACAGGCGGCCACTGGCGCTAATATAAGTTCAAAGCACTAAAACGTAATGAACTACCCACGAAACCGCTGTCATTTTGATTTTTCTCGTTTTTTTTTTCTTCCTCATTCCAAAATTGGCACTCCATTTTTAGGTTATTTACAATATTAGGACTTCATTGCTTTGCCCCGTTAATATCGAGCCTTTTTTGCAAATTGCCGCTCTTTCTTTTTCTAATATTGGAAGGTTTTATAAGCAACCGCCAAACGTCGAGCTTTTATCGGGCTTTAAGATTCATATCGGACGGCTCATATTTTGAATGGAATCACATATTGACAAATGGTTTTTGATACTGTGGGAAATTTGCGTGTTAATTGTTCATGCATTTCCCAACACTATAATTGTTGTCCGAAATAATTATAATATAAAATATATTTTTAAAATTTAATTATTAATAATATATTCTCTGTAAATAAAATTTTTTAAACTCAAAATAAATATATTATTATATTTATTTGATAAATTAATTTAAATTTTATATTTTTAGTTTAGCTTAAAGATTCTAAATAAAATTTAAATGATAAACTATAAGTAGTTAATTTATATATTAAAATATTAATTAATCAGACAAAAATAACAGAAAATTAAAAGGCGGCAGGCCGTCAATGAAAGAAACACCTTGTGTAATTTTGTTCACTGGAAAACATGACACTTGGCACGCCGTTTTGGAATACTTTATTAGGCCTAAACGACAATCCACTTCTCACGTGCATGACAAAAACGCGACCTAAGCTCATCTCGTCGAATCCTCGTAATAAACTCGACGTTGAAATTCAAAATTCAAGGTTTAATACTCAAATCGTTATCATTATTTATATGTTAATAGAACTGAGAGTTTATCCATAACTTTCGTTCAAATTTTAAATTAATTAATATTTTTAAGAAATAAATTTTAAAAATAAATGTAATTATGAAGTAACATTTAATTTATAATTAATTCAAAGGGTTTAGATGGTAGTTTACCTAATTTTGAACCACCCTTTTCCTAATTTTATTATGTGATTTGCAGATAAAAAGTTGTTTTAAATCAGTGTCTAATATAATATCTCAATTCTACTTAATTTGCCGTACCTAAATTGGCGTTTATTTATATAATCATCTTTAATATATGTTCATTTTCGGGATATTTATTTTCTAATTTTTCATATTGACTCATTTATTTTATAAATCTGAAGTGAATATAAAATAATATATATTCAAAAACTCTTAATCATATGACAATAAAAGCTTATGATTCTACATACGCGATGCTCGAACCAAAAACCTCAATGAATAACTACAAGTCCCTTAGCTTAGTATCACTTTGTTCATGCAAATCTTTTTGATAAATTTGGAATGAATCTTAAGGTAATATATGTTAAAAGACTCTCAACCGTTTAATAATAAACCCTTATAAATTTATTTTGTCACACATTGTTAATTAAACCCTTAAACATTACCATTTTATTTAAATAAACCCTTATAAATTTCATTACCTAAATAAGTCTTTTATCTTTTGTTTTATATCCAATTAAGCTTTATATTTTACGTGAAAAAGTCATTTTAGTTAGCCTTATTTAAGCATAAATTAAAAAGCTAAGGCTTATTGGTATACAAGTTAAACGATTAAGGATTTGTTTAAGTGTACAAAAATTAAGTATTCACGAGTTAAATCAGATCAAATTTTGGTTAGACTCGCTCATGTATGGTATCAATGCCATGCATTGATTCCTAAGTCCAGTTTAACTCCAAATACGACGACGGACGGAGCTATTTATTAAGTGGGAGGAACAATGACTTTCCTATTTTTGTATAGAATAGTATTTTATATCTTTATTAATTTAAATATTAGTTAGATTAAAATCTTTATTCCTTTTTTATATTTAAATATTTATTTATTATATACTTGTATATCTCAGTATTTAATCATAATTTCGTCCCAAATATAAATCTCAAGTCTTTCTCAAGCTATTTATAAATGACTAACCTAAACTCATTTAAACCCGCATATTTTATTATCTTTAAATTTATTAGATTTAATAATTACATATACACTTCTTATGCTGTCACTTTTCTGTATAATGCATTTAACATAAACAACCTAATAAATATTTTAATAAATATTTATATTATAATATAATACATTTAACTTCTAAATAATATAAAAAAACGTATCATAACTTGAAAATGAGTTGGATCAGATTCAAACTTTAAATGTTGAATTTCAACATCAATTATGATTATGATTTTATTATATGTTTTATTTATTCAATAAATTTAATTGTTATTATTAATTAAAATATAAAAACAAAATTGTTAATCACTCGTTTATTATGAAACGTTAGGTTAGGCCAACTACCAAGCTATAATACATAACAACATTACCATATATGTAATATGTTACAAGAAATGAATGTCGAGATGGAAATGTTACAACGTCCATACATTTTTTTAAATACAATATTATGATGGTTATTGTCGCAACCGTCTTTCGGTTGGGCCCCGAACTTGGGCTTCGACTTAGGAAAATGTGGATTGGAGTCGCCACCGATCATTTATTTAAAAATAAATGGGTTGATCGGATACCCTATTTCTTACCTGATCTGCGTCTTACCAAAGATGTATCGAATTCGGGAGTCGGTTACAGTCAAGGAAGGGTTAGCACCCTTGAACTGCCCTTTCGGTACTACGTAGTTTCCAGTTGTCTTTAATTAAGAAAATTGTAAGTTAAAGTAAAATGTAAAATAACGATCCGAATTATTTACCTCTGATGAATTAAAGATATACCCTTAATATGTCAATATGTCACGAAAAGCATTAGAGGAAAAAGGCGATGAAATAAATACAAATAAGAAAGGAAAACAAAAGTAAATAGAAATACATAAAATGATAATAAAAGTGCAAGATAAATAAACGAAATAAGGGGAAGAACAAAAAGGTAAGTAAATAGATGAAATTAGTATGCATGTACATAAAATGTTAAGTATATATATATTAATAAAAAAGAAACCGGAAAATGCAAAATGAGAAAACCAATAAATAAATAAAAATAACCTAAAAATATAAAATATAAAATAAAATATATAATATATAATCTATAATAGTAATAATAAAAATATATATAAGTAATGAAGACAAAAATGAATAACAATACGGTAAAAAAAATAGCATAATATAATAGTAGTAAACAAAAATATAGAAGACGAATAGAAATGTTTAATTAAATATATACGTAAAAGAAATAATGAAAATAAAAATACATATATATATATACACATACCATGATAATAAAACTTAATATATTAAATAAAAAGTAAAATAAAAATTAAAACATAAACTGAATTTTAAAAAGGGTTAAATTGAAAAGCAAAACAAATCAAATGGCCAAATTAAAGATTTTAAAAAGCTACAGGGGATTACATGGGGATTATCCCATTTTGGCTTAGACACACACATGCTTTATGGGTCATATAATGCCCAACGTGTGGCCCTAATAAAAAGAATCATCTTTTTATTTTAACCTTAAAAAAAAACCCTTCCTGTTTTGAGAATTCTCTGGTTATTTGAACAAGCACTGGGTTCTTCACGTTCAAGTTTTAAAAAAAAAAAATTCGATAGCTCCCTCTCCCCTCTAAAAATCATTTTATTTCTCAAGATACATAGCCTCAGAGAGGGATTTCGAAGGAAGAAACCCCCTTCCCCGGATCCTCGACCGTTCGGTTTTGGTTTAGTTCGAGCCAAATATCACGCAAAATCAACATGCAAGGGAAGCAAACGAACGAACAAGGTAAAAATAAAACACTACCTTTTTATTTCTCTCGGAATGTTTAAAGCAAAGTGCTCTGAAATTGTGTAACCCTTAGTATTTTGC